GCATCTCTGCCTGCAGATGCAAGATCTCATTCTGGATCTTTTGGATGCGAATAGAACGTCAAGGAGGAATCCAATGTTGCACTGGACTCACTCGATGCCCAATCATGCCTCAGGCTTATAGCAGGCGGTCAGCGGCGGCACGGGCTGCCATTCTCACCTGTCGCGGTGTTTTGAGTGACCCTCCTGATCCTCCTCAAAGATCTGATGAGTGTCGGAGGTCTGGGTTGGGTTGGCTGCCTCGCTGCGCGCCGTCCTCGTCATAACGAAGCTTTGCCGTGGTCTGCATCGTTCACTATTTGGCCAGTCATGCCAAGCTCCCGCAGAAGCAGATTGCGACGTGGCAGAGATGTGTGGATCGACGATAGACTCCTGTGGAAGAGGATTTCCAGACCTTTGGATTCGTCCGAGTCCTTTACAACCCTGCGCTACACACCTGCTGCATAAGTTTAGACCTTGCTCTCAACACGAGGTGCCGCGGTCGTGCTCGGGCGTGGCTTCTCGCCGGGGCACTCTGGCTAGCAGAACAGTGGAGCAAGCTTCCAAACATCAAGTGCGGATGCTCCCGCTACGCTGCAGCATAGCGCAGCTGAGCTCCCAAGTCGGCCAAGCTCCACTTTACCCTCACGTAGGTGGAAGAGTCAGGGTGACGAATCTGCTTGCTTCATCTTTTCTGGTCATGTTTTCAACATGGTCTCTCACTGCTACTTCCACCCCTGAAGCCTTGCCTTATTGCAGCGTTTTGCGACGTCTTGCCTTTCCAGTTGCTGCTTCGCCACGCACCAGTCTCGAGCTGAAGTGCGCAGTTTCAGCGAGAGGCGCAGTCATGGCACAGCAATCCATCCGTTTGCCTGCATCTGCTCCGCTGGCAAAGCGCAGGCATCTGCGGCGCCATGTTCAGATTCAACGACTCCTTTTGCTACTAGGCTGGCAGCACTGTCGCGGTTGACTTGGCATTGCCCTCAGCTGCAGTTGCAGTTGGCATGCGGCCGTGCGGAATGCACTCTGCATTCCTCAGGATAGCCGCACCGTGTGCAGATATTTACCCTCGCATGAACGCTCTTAGCTTCAGAACATACGGCCAGCCAAGCTGCTTGCCACCGGGATCGAAGCATGTTGAAGCACGCCTCTGCGGAGCGACCCGTCTCTCGCTAGGCCGCTAGGCAGGCGGACGATGGTCCCAAGACGGATGACTTGAAACGCAGTGCAGGGCCGCAGGGCTGAGGTGCGGCAAGAATGCGGGTCGGTGCCAGCTCTGTCACTGAGACGTGTCGTCAGTGCAATCTGGAGGCGGGCAGCGGGAAGATTTGGCACCATATCATGCTGCTCTGTCGGTGTGGCATTAATGACATCAATGCCCCGCCCAAGCCTGTCTCTAGGCCTGTGCGACATGGCCCTAGTCCGGGCATCCAGCACACCTGCAACCAGCCACATGCCTGCTGCCAACTAGTCCGTTGCTTCTGGAAGCTTCGGATCCTCCAGCTGCCTGCAGCTAGCAAGGATCTGGGGGTTATCATCAGCCAGAAGACACCTGCGACTATCGAGCGTTCCAATTCTTGGACACTTCCGGAGGACGCAGGCCACCGGTATGTTGAGAAACATTTGATGGGACACGCTTTTGAAGCACTTGCTGCTCCTGCACATGCTGCTGTGTAACCGGCAAGCTGACCATCCAGAGGCCCAGCACCCGCGAGGAAGATCCGACAGCAAGGACAAGAGGCACCACGGTCGTCTCTCGCTTCCGAACAGCCATCTCACTGCTAGAGAAGCTCTTCCTCATTCTTTCCAAGGCCCGGGAAGGTCCAAGTGGCATGGAAGGGCCGACAAGGCCAAGGCTTTCAAGGGTGCCCCGGCATCAGCATCCGGCCCGGCATCCGCCAGGGTTTCATGAACCCCAAGTTGCTTCCCTCGGTCGCCGGGCGCCTGCGAGCCGGCTGAGCAGATACAACATCCGGCAGGAACTGTCATGATCCGTGCAAGTGCTGAAGAGCGCATCGATGTGGCACTCATGAAGAGCTGCACGCACGGCCCGAGGCACCGATGTGAGCCTGGTTGTTGGGCGACTCAGGTGACCATTGCCGGTTCATAGGCCAGCCGCTGCACATCTGCCGTGCACCGAGTGAACCAACAAAGGTTCCCATGAACGGCCCAGCTTTCTATCGGTCGCAGCCATTGGCAACAGCCTGGGTGCCAGGATTGGAGACCTGCGGCACCTGCCGAAGGTGACTACAGTTCGAGAGCATCCAGCCTCCCAAGCCCTGAGCAGCCTGAGCATCATGACAGCTGAGAGATCCAGGACAGGCAGCACCAACATGATGCTCTACACGTCCGGCTATTTGTTGACCCCCAGCATGGTGTCATGATTTGAACTGGACCACATGCCGCCCAGGCGAAATGCCGAGCATGTGTATGCTGCTTGCAGATGTGCGAAGATGAGGCAAGGTGCCCCCGCCTCACGACCACAGCCGGGACTACTCAAGACTGCTCCGCTTCTCCGGGAAGCAGAACCAGCACTTCGGCACATGACCTGAACGCAAATGCCGTGGCATCGGCCATTCCTCGCATCGCCCAAGGCACCTTCAACCCAGTTGCTTGTGCCCATCCTCAGGGCTCGTTTGCTGCATCCCTGGCCTTCCGGGAACTTGTAGCCTTTGCACGGTCAGGTTTGATAGAGTCTGACGTTGCATTTTGCAAGCTTTGCGATTGCAGGCTTCCAAATCAGGACGGCAAGCCGCGGAGCTGTTGCGAACCGCACCTGAAGGTGCTCCTTGTGAGTCGCGAGCCCAGGAGTCACGGACGACAGGGCGCCTGTGCGCGTACAGCACCAGCGGGTTGGTTTGGCCTCCCGTTCTGCAGGGCTCGATGCGCGTAAACACGAAGCGTACAGCATCCTACTGGGCTTATTCTCTAGGTTTGGACAGGGCCGTTTATGGCCACGGCCACTGCTGGAGACTTCAAGGCACCTCGCCTTTGCTGCCACTGCTTCGTATGTCTCATTTGGCTGATTTACTGTGCTCTACGCATCGGTCGGCGTCTTGGGCGTCCCGCATAAACGTTTGGCGGTGGTTTTGGGTTTCCGCCCATAAGCCTGCTGCACTTCGTGCCGGGGCGAAGATCTTGCGACACTCCGTGCTAGGCCAGGCAAGCTCACCAACTCACCAGTGAGATCTCCAGGCGATAGTTGTGGTAGCTCAAGCTGTTCCCTGGCGTAGATGTTGCAGAGTCTCTGCTGGGGGTTCACAGGTTCTGCGAGGTCGCGGCTCCGACTGTGAAGCGCCACCCGGTCCTGCCATGAGCTTGTCTCGTCGACACAGCACACTGAGGCACTGAGGTAGAGAGGAAGATGCACGCCGCCAAGCCGCGACGCTCCAAACGAGAATTATCTTTGAGAGTCAAGCCAGCGATCATGCATGGCTTCCGGGAGCAAGCCAGGTAATTAAAGTCCCGGAGGGCAGACATCTTACGCCAGGCTCTGTGACGACAAAAGATGTGTATGTGCCGAGCTGCACTGTCCAAGCGCTGCTCCTCCTAGTTGCGGGCATCATGTCGAGGGCTGGAGTGCAGCCGCAGTCAATGCCCCAGACAGACACCCTGCCGCCCAGAAGGCCCCTACTTTCAGCGGCAGTCGCGTGGACCCCGCCGGTTCCCACAACTGTGCCTCGAAGTGCCGTGAGCGTGGCCGCTGCAAAGGGCGGCGTGGTGCGCGCTTCTGCTGGTGCCCCGCGACTTCGGGAGTCTGTCTCCTTCTTGAGCATGGAGAATCTCTTCTTGCAGTGCGTGCCATCGAGGCCGAGGCACCGAGATGGCAACCGCGGCAGCCAGCAGTTCCGTTAACTGCACCGAGCTTTATCCCATCATCACCCTCGCTCCTTGTGCAGAACTGTGGAGCAGCATCCCAACTTGTTCCAAGGTCTGCCTCGCTGGTAGCCCGAAGTCATCTCGGCATGCCAGCGATGCCGCAGGCTATGCCAGCGATGCCGTGCCTGGAAGGATCGCAGGCAGCGAGATATTTCGCAATCGAAGTGCCTGCAGCCAAAGAGGGCGACCTTCGCTAAGCTTGAGCATGTGCTCCCCAGCACCAGCCTGCATTTCGCGGCCAGTGCCGGTGCCAACTAAGCCAAGAATCGGGCGCTCTGGATTTCTTCGATCTTCTGTTTGCAGCTCGGTCCGATCCTGTCAAGCGGGTGGTTGTTGCAATCAGTTGCGGGACCTGGGGTCGGGAACATCAGAATCCCGGAGCCACTGAGCCACGATCTTGGGTCTGTTGTCCTTTGTGCCACCTTGCGCCCTTCAAGGCTTGACTGTGAACGGAAGGTTTTCGCGAGTGCCGCTCCCCATCTCAGCCTGTGCAGGCCTAGGTGCCTGTATTCCGACGACTTGATCCTGGAGTCCGCACAGCAGAGAGCCTCCAACTTGCTTTCTTGCGAATTGAAAAACACCGGGCTTTTAGGCCCTGCTCATTACTGGCTGCCTTCATTCTTGGCGCCTTTTCATGCCTGTTCCGAGCACCAGTGCCGGAATTCAATTGAGACGTCCATTCAATCTATCCATCAAGGCTCTGACCTCGCAGGTCGGAGCTACCAGCCGATCAGAGTGCCACTGGGCTGCCGCCCGATCGATCTCAAGTCTTGGTCCCTCCTCCAAAAAACACTGAATATGGAGTCGGGACACCAGCTTCCAAACGGACACAGCGAGACCCCGCTTCCGAATGGACATAGCCAGACCTCGCTTCCGAACGGACACAGCGAGACCCTAAATGGAATTACCAAGCGCCAAGTTGCTGCTACCACGTGCTCTTTTGTGGTAGGTGCGTCAGCATCCATCAGGCACTCCATCGCCGATGCCGATGTCAGTCCTGCATACCCGGATACAGGCCTTCTTTCTGGCGCGCTTCCAGGGTGAACCAAATCAAGCACAAGCCTTGGCCTTCGGTTCTAGTAGTATTCTTCATCGGCACGGGCCATGCGCTTTGCAGGCCAAGGTGCACGGCTCTTCGAAGCAGTATGTGGGAGGCCGCTTCGCCCCAGCAACAGCTGCGCAAAGCCGGAATCCAGAAAGTTGCTCGAGGTCGCGGTCAGGGCCACGCGGCCTGCCTTATGTTGGCGCCCGTGGAACTCTCAGATTCCTCACTGCTGGGCCAGCCGCTGAAGGTTCGCATGATTTTCCATTGCTCTGCTGCGCCTTCTGCGCCCGGCCGCAAGCTGTACACAAGATTTCCCCGACCTCCTGCAACTGCAAGTCGCTTGTTCGCCTGCGTCGTTCGGCTTGAGCCTCACCCCTCTCCCACCCCAAGTTCAGCACGCAGCGCGCCGTTTCGTTCTTTGCCCATGTTTACCCCAGTGCCAGCGTGGCCGTTGATTTCCCGAAGAGAGAGCTCCAGAACTCGTCCAATGATGCCACAATTCTTTGAGAGCCTGCCGGGTTCGGAGAACTGGTGCCGCCCCTGCCACTTCATCGGCTTTAGCTCCGGGCACTGCAAGCCTGCGAAAGCGGCCATGCCGCTGATGTCTCCGAGGGACTGCACGCACCAGACGCACCAGCCTGCGCCTTTGCCTTCTGCTTCGCAAACTTCCAGGCAGGGCGGCACTGGGGAGTTGGAGTGTGTTGGTCTATGCTTCCTGGGAGTTTATACCTGCAACATCTCGCAAATACCCGACTAGACGAGTCTGACCAGTCTTTCCGACTCTGTCGAGATGGGTGCACAAGTCGAGATGGGTGCACAGAGAGAGACACAGAGAGAGACAGCCAGTAGAGGGGATTCGATGCCAGCAGCCGGGACTGCCACCACAAAGGCGGATGACACAGTCGTTGCCCACGTATCCTGTTTACTCAATTGTTGATGCCGGGAGCCCCGGATGACCCGTCTGCAGCCTGCCAGGTTTGTCACGGTAAGGGTTTTGGAGGTGTGGTTGTTGGGGGATGGGTGTACAGGCACAGCCGGGGGAACAGGATCACTCCCAACCTCGGAAGGGGTCGTTGGGCGGGTGGGCCTTCGGGCCAGGAGGCTTCGGCCTCCATACCGGTAAGCAAGATTGAGAAGAGCGAGAGGGACACTGGAACAGACGAAAGCAGAGCGAGAGGCTACTGGCAGACAGAAAGACAGACGGAGAGTCGAGGTGCAGGGACAGCTGCAACTTTGATAGTTGAGAGGTTGACCTCCCAGCAACCTTGCCCAAGTGGCTCCTCAAAATTACGAGGCTACAATTACCCATAGCTCGGGATAGCTAGTGATAGACTGCGAAAACGACAACAATTGGGCGGCTGGACAGACCATGACCGATCGGTCGATGGATTGTGGATCGGTGGGATCTCTTGTGCTTCCCTCTGCTCGAAAGTTGCCTCGGCAGGAACCACACCAGCATACAAGGGCAGCATCACGCAGCATGCAAGCATTTCGTGATCGCGACCATGTTGTCGGATGCAGTTGCAGGCCCAGGCCGACAACCTCGGACAAGACAAGCTTCTTTTTATAGTCTGAGCATGGGCTCGAGCGGGAGGGAGAGCTGAGTTGGGAACACGTCAAGCTGGGCCATGTGATTTAGTTCGGCAACGAGATACGCAGAGGAGGCTGCTCTGCAGGCTTCACCGTTCCCTGGTGCATGTTGAACTTGGTAAACGTCATTGGTGCCTCGGCATCTCCTCCACATCACCTGTCAGTAGATCTATAGAGCAATTGCAATAAATCGGTTTGGGGTCTTGGCGCTACACGCGCTAGACGGCACTTCGTTTCTAGCTCTGCATTTGTAGCCGGAGCGGTAGCCCGAGCGACGGCGAGTTTTTTCTCGCTCGAAACACTGGGTCATCCATGTGCGGTTGCCCGATTTGTCTAGTGGCCATAGTGGCCACTGGATGGAGCGCTTGCCGGAACCGCTGTGTTTGGCCGGAGCCAACAACACTTCTAAGATCCTGTGCAGATCAGGAACCCCAGGGTGGCATGTCCCTTTGAATTCCTTTTTTCGACGGGCACACAGGTGCGAAGCCAAAACAAGCGACACTGTAGGTTTCGGGCGGCTGCAAAAGCGATACGTGGAGGCAGAAAACTCTTCTATCTGGGCATACGTAAGCCCACAGACACCGTCCATTAAGGAGTTTCTTCATGTGGTGATTCATCGGACCCCCTGAAACCGCGTGCTTGCTGGTAAAGCCATACCTGGAAGGTGTGCGGTTTGTGGTTTCGGCGGGGCAACGCGGATGAGCGACCGGAACGTTGGCTTCCACAATCTGGCGCTGTGTTGGGCCCAGATGGATCTGGGGGCATTTGGTTATAGGATGGCAGGCTGTCTTCCTTGCTATTGGCAGCTTGGTGAGTTGAGGATGCGCTTGACATCACGGGGATCTCTTGGGATTTGGGTTCAAAGCTGGGTTCGTCCAGTCATCCCACTTCTCACCCTCGCCCTGACGCATCCAAAAAGTTTGCCCCTTCGAACGCCTCTCCTTTTCCTGGTGGTCGTAATTCAAAGCGCCATCGTGTCATGCTCAGATGCAGAAGCAAAGCCATAGTCTTTCGTCGTGTAGGGCTAGCCTTCTCCTCCCGAAACACACTCCCCTGCAGGGTGCTCGCTGCAGACCAAGTTTGGAGCGTCGATCCACCAGACGAGATCCGGCCCCCTGGCTTTGGAGTCAAAGGAGGGCATCAGTACAGGTCTCCGGACTGTGATGTGTCCATGCACAGCTCGTCTCTGCCATTCATTGCTGTGTCATTCTTTGCCGGTCTCGTGTTGGAGCAAGAACAACCATGGTAAGCATGCGCGACTAGCTGACTGGCTGTAGCTGAAAGAGTTCACAAGCCGAAACACCTCTGCACTGCTAGGCTCCAGGGCCTTCTGTCCGTCGCACAGAACCTGGTTTCCACCCCTTGGCTTGCGCACCTCCTTGTTGAGACGTGCCTTGGGCATGACATTGACAATTTCTAGAGGGCTGTGCTCTCCACATTCCAGACTCAATTCGAGATTGCAGCCAGGTGCTACGACATGTCTGAGCTCGTGATTGTGGGCTGGCAACTTGGCGATGTTGGTCACCGCTTCACCTGCTGGATCCAGCAAGGTCTGCAGGCTGCCAGAAACGAACGTTTGCGTTCGACAAATTCCGTTTCTCTTCATTACGACGGATCGATTGAACACAACACCGCGTTAGATGACGGACGCATGGGAATTCATCGCTAATGAACTGACGTACAAGTAGTCGACCTCTGCATCTCACAGTCTGCACGTAGCCCGAGAACTTCCCCCGAGAACTCCCCGAGCCATACAGCGATGCGGCGTGGCTGTTGTCCTGCTGGTGACTGATATGACTTCCCACACTGCACTTGAGTCCCAAACTGACAAAATGCACCATCTGACGAACTTTGGACTTTTGAATGCTGCAAGGAGCTTTGGCAATCATTTTGCATGCCATGCCTCTCGGCAGTTGGAGGCACGGCATGGGTCGGTGATCGCACAACGGTCTCGTGACAAAGGTCACATGTGGCCATGTTACTGCGAAGACTTTAGGTGTCGATCTGTGATGGGAAATCCAGTGACGGAGACAAGAGTTCGGCGAGTTTTAAATTCATCATTTGTGTGACCACGGTTCGTTTCTCGAAGTGGCGTCATATGATATTTTATGTAATTCCACGCTATCAACAGCAAGCGAAGTTCGGTGCCTGATGCAACAGGGCCAAGGCCAGGATTCCGGAAGCGTGCAGTGAACATTCAGAAGCACAGGCGAAGCGAACACTTGACCCTCCGCGATGTGCAGACTAGACCAGACCCTCCTCAAGTTGGTGGTGTGCCTTTGGTATTAGGACTGCCGCAGCACCTGCTCATGTTGCTGTCCAGGCTGCTGGGATACGCCTGCGGGGTATATGCACGTTGGATGATCGGTGCCTCGGAGGGCTGATTGTATGCAGCCTTGACTTCTCACAAGCGCAAAAATCCCGCGAGACTCACCAAGGGCTTCGAAGCCATCACACGATGAGTTTGACTGGGAGTTCGTTGCCCAGACTCGGCACCTTGGCCATGTGAGTACTCAAAACATCCCGGAGCCACGAGCCTGACAGTTTCGCTGCGTATTAACACAAGGGCCTCACGGCCTGAAGTCCAATTTTGCGGATACCGATGCGAGCAGTAGGCCAGAAAGGCCAGGTCAAAATGACGTCGGCTGCGGCATCTACCACCCGATACGCCCGAAACCTTCTGACACCGCGGAAGTGCTCCAAGTAGAAACTTCCCTTACAAGCCTGTACTGATTCTGCACTATCGGGATCTAGGCCTCGCGTGCGCCTTCTGGCCGTGGCGATGGAGTTCATCAGTCCGATGAAGTTTGTGAGAAAAGAGTTCGGCGACTGAGCTGACCCAGACAGGCATGGATCAGATTTCTTTGAACAGCATTCACACGGCTTTTCATCAACCTGGACATGTCGAGTGTAGACACAGAGACCAGACTCCGAAGCCGACAGCTTACAGAATCTCAAATCCCGAACTGCCATTTTGGCATGTTCTGGGATGCTGAGCCGAGAGCTCAAAAAGCTGCGCTCTTGAGGCCTGGATCCTGTGCGATTTTTTGGGGCCAACTACGTCTCTTGGCGGATACAGGGCTTCCCGGGTGCCTGAATTCGTGCACCGACCGCTGATTTGTTAGAGGTCTCCTAGCTCAAGAGTCCTTCAAAAATCGCATCACGAGGGCCTGCCGCCAAGGCTTGTAGGATCTGTGCTGGGGACTAATTCCTGGTCACTTCGCGCAGAGCTTCCCGAGGAAATGGCCGCGAAGCGAGCTCTGAACTTCGCGACATCGATGAAGATTTGGTTCCGGGCTTACTGCGGGACTGCGACTTCGACAGGTCTTCAGAGAGTAATTGTGGGGGGGAGGGGTCAGTCGGGGTCATGCGTTCGTGTACGTATTTGTCCGTCGTTCGACATACATCCAGCTTGTCACCTGTGCCGACGGCAGACTGGATCGGACTTTCTGTCTGCACAGGCAAGGTTTTCCAGCCGAGAAGCTTGCGCCGTACCACCTGTAGACACCGCAGCAGTACACTTGACTGTACCGGCAGACTCGCAACTTCTCCAGGTGGCATGAGAACCCCAGCATGCTTTCACTGCCATGGCTACGTGTGGCAAATCGTAGACCACTAGGTGGCACTCAGCAGCATCAGCAGCTATGGCTTCTTCGACGCCCCGACACCCGAGGTTCGACGAATCCGCCCACCACAGCGCCGAAGCCCCAGCTGCGATGCACTGCCGTTTCTTTCAAGCGTCGTTTCAGGGTAATCCCGCTGCGTACCAGCACCCCAGCAGCTTCAAGTCAAGTCTCGATGTGCGCTCAGATCGCAGCGGTCGATGTGTGGGACATCCGTGAACGTCTCCATGCACACTGCCGTCAGCCGCGGAGGCCCTGTGGGCTTGCTTGTGACAGTGGATGTTTCGCGTTGTCTCCCACTGAGAAAGGGATGTTGGGGTTGGGTCTGCGCAGCGTGAGACGACTACAAAGAAGCTGCTTACAAGCGCCGACATGAACAGAGCCCACAGCCGTAGAGTCAGAAGTACTTCATCTGCAGTGCAGTGCAACAGCAACCAGCAACTAAGCCCAAGACACGAGCCCAGCATGATGTCTAGTGAGTCTAGTCCAATACCCCTGCTCGACTCCCATAATAATGCGGCAGGCGACGTCGCAGGCGGCTTGCGAGGATTGCACAAAGGCTGGTCGTGGGAGTAAGCTTGGGCTAGGCTTCGTGCGTCTGCAAAGCTGGGTTCCAGGGTGGCCTTCGGTAGCCATCGCTCCAGTTCTTGTTCACTGGACGAAGTCGAAGTCGAATGTCCGTGACTCAAGCCTCCTGTGCTTCAGCAGTTTCCGAACCTTTCAGCCTTGGGCCATCAAAGACTGCAAACCCCGCAGACAACCCTTCCTCGCAGACGATCCTGGCCGGGGTGCACACCATCCGGACACCAAAGGCCTTGTCTCGGAAGGTTTTGATGCCCAAGGTGCTGTTGACTGTTGACTGTAGACAGGTCCATGGAAAGACTCAACATAGGCTAGGGCAGTTAGGGTTAGATTGTCGGATTTGTTGGGGAACCGGAGCTGCGGACAGACGGGTGGTCCGCAACATCAACTGAGCGAAGCAGGGAAGTTGACCACCGGAGACTGCACACTGGTGAACACCGTGGGATTTTATTGCTTGACGATCGTCCTTGAGACTTACTCGCGTTTTTCTCTTCCTGCTCTATCAGGAACGATTCCTGGCCGAAGCCAGCCTTCCATGCCGTGTAAATGCCTTCGACTGCAATTCAAGCACCGAGCATACCGAGCAGGTCTCGGTCCGTCCGCCTGCGTCCGTCTGTTGTTATCTGGTGCTGCTTTGCGTCCAGCTGCCTCGGCATCGTGTGTCCAGGATTCCCACTAAGCTTTGCTGAGGAGTTGGATGCAGTCGTGACAGGAGCAGTCGAGCAACAACTCGTGCTGGCATCTACAATCCGGAGCCCTACAGCATTCACTTATCCTGCCACCGCACGCAACTCATCAGCAGCACAACTGTGCGCACTCTTGCCAGGTGCATCGGCGCCTGCTTCGGCAATGCCGTGGGCTGCAGTGCATGGAGGTACTTGGTCTTGAGCTGTCAGTCTATTGCGGTGTCATTGCGGATCGTACCTACGTTTGCATGCCCTTTCGCTTTCGGATACTCTCGCACGCCAGGCTTTTTGCGGAAGAGAGCTCGGCAAAGGCTTGCAGCTAGCTGAGGCCCAGTGCGAGCATGCGGGTCGATTCTGGGTTTGATGATGCCTTGAAGCTGAGGCTTGCTGCTTCAGATTGGATGGAAGTGCAACATGTGCAGGTGTAGTGACGAGGGTTGGCTCTGCGGGCCCTAAACAAGTAAAACGAGGATAGGCGCGTGCCTCCAGTATTGCGGCGGAAGCATGCAGTTAATGTTTTCCGGGAGAGAAAGGGACAATTGCCGTGGGCCCCCACAATGTCGGCAGGCTTTTAGTCTGGATATAAGTGTCGGTCATGAACATATCGGGAAATTCTTGCAAAGAGAACGCAAGAAGGCCCACCAGAAACCTTCTGGACAGCTGGACAACGCTCGAACTCCTCAGAGCTAACCTCTGGGCTCTCCTCTTTGGTAGTGCTTAACTGAGCAAGATGAAGGTTGGCGAGGCCAGTGGAGGATTTTCCCGTGGCTCATGAAGTGGAAGCTTGAAGCTTGGACTTGAGGAAAACCCCTAAATCTTTCTCGTGCCTGCAAGGCTCTGGAAGGGCATGCGGAGCTAAGAGGACATAGAATGGCAAGATTTGAGGCGGAGAGGCTTCTGTACAGTCCATCGAAGCAGCAGGGCCGTAAGCTGCCCGCTTTTGTCTGCCGGATGGAGCTTTTGCATGTCTCACGTGTGCCGTCTGCTTTGCCATCGTCTAAGGAAGAACCGTTCTGTCACTCCGCGGCATTGCCCCTCATCGATTTACATAGTAATTAGGTAGAAGTCGGACCAGCAGCTCGAGCGCTGGGCGCGGGAAAACACTGCGGATGGCATCTGGTCTCAACCGATCTGCACCCCCATCCCAGTTCAAAGCCTTGCCCACAAGACAAAATCATGCTGATGCATTTCGATCCGATCCTGTCCCACTGTTTCCTGCGAGAGCACTGAAGGCAAGGCTCAAGCTGCAAGACCCCTTCGGTGTTTGGATGGGATGTCAGCCCTTGAATATGTCCAAGAGTCCAAGCGACACCTCACCCAACCAAATGGAAAGTGCGAAGCCTTGCCCGGTCCAAATCCAATCACGCAACCAATGGGAACCCACGGCTTCGAGCATCCCGTCTGCCAGGCTCGAGTGGAGCAGGCGCTACCAGGAAGTTGGTGAGAGGTCTTACGTAGTCTAAAGATGCAAGAGGGTGAGGCTGTTTGCATGAGGTCTTGTACAGCGTAGTATCTCACAAGGCTCACCTCGCTTGTTCATACTGGCGGTGCGGGGACACTTGTACAGGCGCCCACCAAGATCGCCCTGTGGGAGGGGTTCCAGGTTTCTGCTGGCCCAGTGCAACCTGCGATAATCTGTTTGAAGACCCGTCCGGCTTCTTCCGTGCTGGAGACACATGCGGCAAAAGTCATGCCTTCTTGGACTTGAATTGGGGCACTTGGATGCAAAGATGAGGGGACGCTGTCCACAGGAGTACGTCGAATGCGGGAGGGCTGCAGCAAGTTACAGCGGCGCTTGTGTGCGGGTCTGAAGGGAAGCTTTGAGGCTGGGTATATAGCGACTTAGCTTTTGAAGCAAGAAAAGACTGAGATGAAGTGCCAGTATGCAGAACGTAGAGTTCAGGGTTGCTATCACCAGCTGCTTGTGACAGGTTGGGGGTGTTGGAATCTCACCAACTGTGCTGAGCATTTTCTGTCCACGGTGAAGCACGGCAATCTGCGATGGGATCTTCCGATCTGATCGCCAAGCAATCTCTGGCAGCGCACATGCAAGAAGCACAACCTATCGGAGACACTCAACATGTGAAATCAGTGTCCGGACAGGGCCGTAGAATGACATCATGTCTCATACTGCGTACATCCAGAAGCACTGCAGCTTTGCACCTGCAAAAAAATCATAATGTCATACGAGTCGCGAACGGTTCGTCCATGGGCGCTTCCGCATGGCGGTGCCGTCCTGCTGGCCTGCACGGAGAGCTTCAGCTTCACCTGTGAAGCTGAAGCAATTGGCCTTCAGCCCGAGAATGCACAATCCCTGAAGCATCGCAAGCTGCGGCTGTCTTACCGTCTTACCTGCGATGGAGAGACTGCCGCTTGTCCACACCAGGCCAACCGCCAGGCCCAAGTTCCTGGGGCTCAGGGCAATCAAGTTTCAGCTTTCTCCAAGGTCTTTCCTGGGACGGCCTCGAACTGTTGTTGTCACTCCTGGCCAAGATATCTTTCGAGAATCCGGCATCACTTAGGATTGCACCGTCACACTTCGGAAAAACAACAAGTGCATGCTCGAAGACTCGAAGGTGCTGCTGGGCGAGAAGGTCTGTGATCAACGATCGGCGTTCAGGCTCCGGGTCCGTTCAGGGATCACAAAAGGGCAAGCTTTGCATCCGGAACACAAGATCATGGCCCGCCCGTGTCCCCTCGATCTTGCTCCATTCTGCCGGCTTGCGTTGTCCCTGGGCTAAGGCTGAGTAGGACTTGTCGTGATTGTTTTCCTGTTCTGCCGCGTCGGCTTTCGCACATATGTAGAGCATGAGCGTTTCAGTGGCAGTGCTGCCAAGAGATGCGGACAGAGAACAATCTATGATAAAAAGGGTGGTGTTGCAGTGGATGGCTGATGCGAGGAGGTAGACGAACAAGCCTTGTTCTTGCACTTATGAGATCGATCTCCCCTTGAGGCGCCGACGAGCTTCCTAGGAGCAAGGACGTGTGCTGCCCTCTTGATGATTCAGGTTTCTGCGTCTCGCACACCGAAGATCCGAACGTCGTACAGATTCTGACCTTCAGGAATCAAATCCAAACATGACCAGGCTTGTAAAGCCCTTGGTTGTAGCCGTGAGCTCGTCAACCGTACCAGCCTGAGACTTGTCTGTGGACCTCGAAATGTGCATAAGGGGAGATGCTGAAGCCTGAAGCTTGGGCAAGCCGAG